CAATGCTAGAACAATTTAAGTGCAAGGACTAGTCATAAATCAATTTTTTTCAGTGCTGTTGTAACTTCTAACAATCACTAAACAAATGGTTGTAAGTCAAAGATTTTTCCTTTTTAGAAATGGAAAACTGAACCTGAGATTAATTTTGAGATTGTTATGAGCAGATCATAGCTTTGCTACTGAGCCATGACAGCCTCCACCAAAAAAAATCATTAAAAATGAAGGAATAGGAAAGCACTTAAATTATGCACAACAATGTATTTAAATCCTATTCTATGGTTCACAGCTGCTAATAACAATTTTCCCCTAAGAGTTAATAAATCCGTTTTCTAAATGTTCACATATCATTTGAAATGGCAGGTGTGGAAAAGCCCAGTCTGCAATCTGTAAAAGAATTTTGATGAAATAAATGTAGAGAGGCAGTGCAAATTTATTTAAAAGTAAGTGCCACTATGGCTTCAAAATAACAGCTTGATCCAAAAAATATCTTCAGCAAGAGCAAGCTATACTGAAATGAAGTGATATCTAATTTTCCCACTAATATAAGTCACCTAGTATTCAGATACATTTTAACACGAACATGGGTCTCCTATAAACTAGAACGAAAACTTGGGAATATATTTATTTACTGTCACTTAATTACTCCATTAAGGGGACATGGTGGCTCAGTGGCCAAGACCCTGAGTTTGTCGATCAAAAGGTCGGCAGTTCAGCAGTTCGAATCCCCAGTGCTGCGTAACGGGGTGAGCTTCTGTTACTTGTTCCAGCTTCTGCCAACCTAGCAGTTCGAAAGCACATAAAAAATGCAAGTAGAAAAATAGGGACCACCTTTGGTGGGAAGGTAACAGCGTTCCGTGCGTCTTTAGTGTTTAGTCATGCCAGTCACATGACCACAGAGACATCTTTGCATAGCGTTGGCTCTTCGGCTCTGAAACAGAGATGAGCACCACCCCCTAGAGTCTGGAATGACTAATACATATGTGCGAGAGGAAACTTTACCTTTACCTTTAATTATTCCATTAACCAACCATTAATTAAATATTATTTTCCAGAGGTATATTTTTCATACCTTTCACTTTACAAAGAAAATGTTTGTTCTTCAAAATAGAAGGATTTTTCAATTTCTCAGTAATTAAAAAATAGTATAGCAAAGTCTTAAATGTAATATCACCTTATATGGATTTCTGAGCAACTACAGCTTAACTGTAACCACTTTCTCCAAATTAGGATACATTTTCAATCTAGTCTAGTCTAGTCTAGTCTAGAGCCAGGGTGGATTAAAATTGATGCTTTTTTTAAAAAAAGCAAAAAAATCAGATTTTTAAAATTTAAATCGGATTTTCTTATTTAAATTGGATTTTTTAATTTTTATCTAATTTATTTTAATAAAATGCTTCTGGAGTAAAAACCTATCTAAATATAGTTTTCTATTTAAGATACATTAATAATTTAGTTTATTCAGTATGAAATGGAGCTTAGTTATGTAGCATGAGGCTGTATATTCTGCAATATTGGGACTGTTGGTGAGTCAACAGCGGGTCAGAGGAGGACCCGCTGCGGGACAGAGTTGACAGTTGCTCTTTAAAAATTATGATTTAAATCAAGTTGATTTAAATCAAGTTTATGAAATCATAAACTTGATTTAAGTCAAATCTACCGTCTAGAGCATAGCATAGCATAGATAGTACAGTACCGCATCGCATCGCATCACACTATATACCCACATCTCTCCCCTCCAAACCCGTTTTTAATTTGTTTTAATGTTTGTAATTCTAATCTGTTTTTATATTTATAACTGTTATAAATTATAACAATTTTAATTTTTTTATCTTGCTGTAAGCTGCTCAAAGTCACTTAGAACTGTGAGATAGGCGACAAATTTCATATAAATACACAGCATTACCAGCGTTCAGATCACTTGTGGAATATAAAGCAAGCATTTTTGCAGTTATAATGAATGGACATTAATTTAACTGAAAAAAGGGACTTTTATATGTTAAATTCAAAATGTGAGCTATATGTTATGTAGTGGTGGGAGAACAGGGGGAATCAAATTCAAACTGTACTCAGATATCAAACTCTCTAGATGACTGCAATATACATCTGGAAAATTGTTGTATACTATTCTGCTTTTAGAATTGGTGAAGCCTCATAAACACTATCGTGAATTCTCTGAACAACATGAAATATAATTTCATTAAGTGTTTTTTGTAAGATAACTTGTGATTCATTATACTGTATGTTATACTGATCAAACCTTCATTGGCTCCTGCAATACATATGCTTTAAGCAACTAAGAATTATAGTACATCAGGGCAAAAGTAGAGAACCTGTGAACTTGCTCTCCTATCTGTGCCTATCGATCAGTGTTGCAGCAAAGCAAGGCAAAATTATACCAACATATTTGGGAAAAGGAAAGGGAGCTTGCATTAGCATTCTTTGTCCTAAAAATAGAACTATTCCATGCAACGTTTATGATGGATTTGCCAGAAAGACAAATTCATATGTACTTTGTTCTACAAGACAGAAAAGATAGAAAACACTACCAGAATGATTGTCATGGATGATCACCATACACTAATTGCAAAGATTCCACAGAAATTTGCAGAAGTAAAAAGCAGTGAAGGAAAAATGGTTGAGGACAGAATGGCAACAACAAATTACAGTTGTCCTCAACTTACAACCATATTTGGGACCAGAATTTCCATTGCTAAGCAAGGTGGTTGTGAACCTTGCTCAGTCGCTCCCGACCTTTATGACCTTTTTGCTCCAATTGTTAAATGAACCACTGTAGCTGTTAAATGAAACTTGCAACAGAAAAATATAGCCCAGTAGCCTTTTGAAAAGGCACCTTTGAGGCAACCATGACCTGCATGACTGAGAATCTGCATAGACACTTAGCCAGACACTTTGGGATGAACACCCTTCGAATGATGTGGGAGTATGAATGGATTTCCAGAAAACTTGCACTGCAAAGAAATATAATCCTTCCTCCCCCTCCTCCCATCATGTCAGAACTAATCCTTCCATTCCCCCCCTCCTCATCCAGTCAGAACTGATGAAGTTTCTTGGATGAAAAGTGAAATTTCTTCTTCCTGAAGGGGGAACAAAACAGTCCAGTTGTCTTTTGAGACAACCATGACCTGGATGACTGTGAATCTCCATTATCATTTGCAGTTGTTAAGCAAATCCAATTTCCAATCTGGGTTAGTCATCAGGACCAGAGGTTTAATATTCCAAGCTTTCGGGCTCATGCTGGAGCCCATTCTCAGAAAATCTCTTTATACCAGAATGTAGGCATTCTGATGGAGAGACGTTCCGAGGATGGACTCAAGCACGAGTCCAAAAGTTTGGAAGACTAAACCTCTGGTCCTGGTGACAGACCCAGAATGGATCCTGAAACATTAACTGGAACACGTATATTTGTTTTCATTCATAAAATCCAACCTCCCCCACTGAATTTGCTCAGAAGCCAGCTGGGAAGATTTCAAATGGCCATCACATACCCCGGACACTACAACCATCATAAATACATTCTAGTTGCCAAACAACCAAATTTTGATCATGTAACCATGGGGATACTGCAATGGTTGTAATCATGTGACCACAGGCACAACTTTGAGAACCAGCCGCCTTGTTCAATGCCATTATGACTTTCAATGGTTCCTGAATGAATGGTCATTAACTAAGGAGTACCTGTAATCCATAAAAAGCAGTATCTTCAGACCAAAATAACAGATATTAACTGAATATTTATTTACTTCCCATCATTGGGAATTTCTATTTATGCATAATTATTTTTTTAATTTAAATGCAGTAGCCCAATTAATATAACATTAAACAATCCATACTTTATAAATTCCAATGAACAAATTCATATAGCACACCTGACTCAATCATACAAATTATACTATGATTTTGTGCAAAACATGAACTCATACTGTACTAATTTTAATCTATCCATCCCTCTCTCTGTCTTTCTCTTTCATCTAGGAACTTCTCTGCTTTTCTTATGGAAGACCTTAAATTATATTCTCCTATAAATACTATGTTTATCATAACTGTGTATACTGAGCTTGAGTATCATTTTCGACCTTGTACAAAAACTTACTTTTCATAAAATAACAATTCTTTTGTATAAAAAAATCTTATATCCCAAGCCAGAGTACACTGAAACAGAGAATACAATGTGAAATCGAAACATATTTATGGAACTTAATTTTCAACAACTTAACATTTGAGGCTAAAGGCAACTTAAGGTCCTTCAAATATATTAGATAAGCTGCAAACCACAGAAAGCCTGAATGCTGATAATGCATATAGGCATCACATTCCAAAACATCTGGAAGGAATGTTGCTGTTTTCTTTTAACTTTTGGCCCAAAATTACGTTCATGTTAATCTTGCCTTAGAGAAATCATTTACATATAGAAATCTACAGGGGGAAAAAAGATTTAGGAAAATATTTTTTTAACCTTATACTTTTCCCTCCCTACACAGGTAGACTTCATATACTACTGCCTTGTGCAACAACTGTTCAAAGTTATGGAAAAAAACCCTCTGGGATCAAGACATATTACATATAAATTCAATAGAAATCTAAGACTTGTCTGCAAAAGTTTAAAGGTTAATATTACATACAGACTTGTTTATACACATATTTCATTTAACTACCAGTTTCATGCTATTGTTTTGTTATATGGTCAAATCTCTTTTCTCTCTTTACCACTCCCACTTTCTGCTGGTTACTTTCTCAGCCTGAATTACTTCTGCTTTCAGAATTTCCTGGGTACAAAAGTCACTGCTGAGAATTTTGGGAATTGAAAACTGCATACTTGGATGAGGCTGGAAAAAGTGAAATGGCCAACAAAATAAGTGACTGGGTTATTGATACATATAAAACTGTAAGAATTGCAAATCTAAATTGTATATTAAAATAATGTATTTTAAAACGGTAACATTGGAATAATTATAAAAGGAATATATTGTATAATGACTGACCTTCATTGCTGTATCTCTAGTTCAGAAAGTGAGGAGAAAAAAAGTGGAATCCACTATTAGTGAAAGTGTAATACATTCAATGAAACCAAAGTGAAACTTTTTGGCACAACTCAAGAAAAACTTAATATCATTCCAATTCATATGCAATTTTTTTAAAAAATGAATATATTTCAATTGGCATTGTAATGATTTTTGCATCTTCAAGACAAATAATTAGTAACCACCATAAATCTTTCTTAGCCACCTCTATTGATATCAAAAGAATACTGATATTAAGCCTGAAAGTGGTTTTGCAACTTTCTTAAATGTGTATTGACTGTCCAAGTATGCAATCCTACAATTCCTGGTTGTCCCAACCTTAAATAACTAGTTCAAAATCAGCTGAGCACAATATTACAAACAATTCAAAAACTTCAGCTCAATACTATATGTCGCTACCACACTTCTAGAAAGATGTAAAATCAGTAATATATACCCTTGGACTTCCCAGTCCTTGTTGCATGTCAACTCCCGTCATCCCTGGCTATAAACTACTATATATTTTTTGTAGTTTAAAAATACAGGTGACTTACAACTTTTTGTTCTGTGACCGTTCAGTTACAATGGCACTGAAAAAAGTGACTAGTGACTATTTTTCATACTTACAACTATTGCAGCACTGGCCATGACCATGTGATCAAAATTCAGATGCTTGGCAACTGACATATATTTATGACAGGTGTGATTTACCAATACAGTATGTATATGTATGTGTGTGTGAGAGAGAATCTTTAATGCTTAAAGCAGTTTGCAATTAAGTAATTTGAAGAATTGCCTGCATCTAAGGGATTCTGTCTGGACCTTAAAAATAATTTCAAAGAACCTTCTCTTTTAATAGCCCGTTTTCCCCCAAAAAAGAAATCCCCTGATAATAATCCCAATCGGGTTTTTGAGCGCATGGCAATAAGGCCAAGCGTTTATTTCAGGCTTCAAAAAAATATAAAACAGGGTCTTATTTTCGGGGAAACACAGTAGTGGCTCCTTTATTCCTAGAATATTTTCCCTGGGCATAGAATTATTTTCCCAAGGATCTATAATAAACCCATTCTTTACAGGACAATTTTAAACTGAGCACCAAAGCTTGTTTGCTTTATTTAGAATTTTCCTAAAAGGTTTTATGCTAACAGCTAATGATCCTATCAACTTTTCAAATTTTTATAGCTATTTTAATGTTTTAATATTTTTAAAATTACCAGATGTAAGCCACCGTATGAGGACTTTATCACAAATAGGATATTTTAACAAGCACATAATAGCATAATCCTATGCCTGCCTACTTACAAATTAGTTTTATTAATCAAAATCTCCAATGCTACTGATAGCATTTAAATAAGTTATATTTTAAATTATCGATAAATCCTAAGAAAATAACTAAGTCAATCATATTGAGTTCAATTATTTATTTTCCTAAGACAGTGGTGCAACACTAAATATGTTTTTCAAACATATTATCCATCCATAATATAAATTATCCATCCTGTATTCTTGAAAAAGTCATCACACCATAACATGAAAAGTTAGAATTTATTATTCCAAAGTAAAAAGCTATTCTTCCAAGAAAATTAAGTCAACCTGAACAAAATTATTCATTATTATGTAAACAATTTGCATTTTATTACTATTTAGGGACATAGTATTTGTTTTAATAGCTTAGTTACATGACTTTAATGGAACAAGAAATGTATTAATTATTACGCTTTTCAGTGTAATCTCACTAATTGCTACTCATAATAATACTGTCACAAGTAATGTGTTTTTCAAAAATACTGAGCTATTAGCAGTATTTAACAATTTAGTCTTTGGAAAAAAATCACTTACATCAATTCTTTTTTTGTCAAAACTCTGGAAATCTTAGCCAGTTGATGTGATTACTTGAGGGAAATAACTTCACTATCTTCTAAGCTCATAAACTACAATAAAGGTAATCGAAAAATTGCTTATCAAAATAATTTCAGACAATATCAATATATTTATCTACCAATAATGTATCTGATTAAAGTATGAATAAGAAATCTCTGACACGTTTCTTGAATCATAATTCCAGTTTAATCTCAGCCAAGGGCCATGCTGTTAATGTGAAAGTCTGTCTTGTGTACACACTAGCATTTTTTTAAAAAAAGTTTGTTTAGAGTATATATCAAAGACCTCGAAAACAAAGTTTCTTCAATCAGCTTCTCACCTCATCAGCTTTTCCAAGTCTTGTGCAATATTAAAAATGGTATCCTGTAGTTATCACTGAAGTTAAGGGAGAGAATTGTTTTTCTTCCTATAACTTGTACTGCTGCTGCTGATAGGATTCATTTATTGCTTGCTATCTCATCATCACTCATTTACTCTCTTTGCTATGGTGTCTGTAGGAGAATCTAAGAACATTCTTAAGTCAAAGAGAGCCACAGTCTATACCTATGAAAGCCCTAAGCAAAAAGTTCAGACACTTTTTGTCATGGCCACTGAGCAAGCACTCATTTCTCAAAACATTCAGGAACTCTTTAACTTTGCTAGGAGTAACCCCACTGCCTGCTACAGTGATTTGTCCCTGAAAGCTTTTAAAAAACTAATACCTCCAACCTTTCCCCTAGACCTTAGGAGACCATAGGGGAGCTTTTACTTCCAAAGTCAAAATCTGAATCGTAACATTTTAGGTAACTCGTCAAATTCCATCAGCCAGGCCCCTCCGCCCCCAAAACAGGGTCACCGCCACCCCCGAATGGCCTCCCGCTTTCCGCCTTTTCTCCGGCACGGTGATGCTTTCACGTTCCTGGCAATAAGAAATGGAGCCGCCGGTTTATTTGGTCGCCCCCGAGCACCCCACTATTTGGTAACCCCTCCTTCCCGAGTCCTCCTTCCCGCCACCGCCACCGCTACATAAGGCGGGGAGGGAGCGAAGATGGCACGGGAGTCCCTTTCGCTCAGCGCCGCCGCCCGGCCAAGGCGAAGCAAGAAATGAATACTCGGGCGAAGGCAGGCCCTGCATGGGGGCGGGCACACAGCGGCGGGCTCCCGGCCCAGAAGAGGTGCCGCCAGGGCCAGCGAGGAGAGGCAGCCCGTGGGGCCGCCGCCCTTCCATTGTCGCCCGGGTCCACGGGGAAGTAAAAGGGCAGGGCCAGGGAGGGAACGGAGCTGCCGAGGAGCGGTCTCCTCAGGCGAGAGACGCCCGGCCGACCGTTCCCTCCCTCCACCTCTGACTCCCGCCCGCTGGCCCGGCTCGAGTGTGTGAACAAGGGAGTGAGCGAGCGAGCGAGCGAGAGAGGGCCCGCTGCCCCCGCCCCTCACGCCTCCATCTTGGATCTCAGCCTCGGAGCCCTCCCCCTCCCTCCGCCCGCGCTAACTCTTTTACCTCAGCTGAGGCAGCGCCCCCGGGAATCCTACGGTGCCACGGGAGATGGGTCCAGGCGGGCCGGGGCCAAGCCGGGCCGGAACGAACAGGCGGTGGTGCTGGGGGCCGCACCTCAGTAGAGCTGCAATCCTAAACCGCCATCTGGCGGCATTTCCTACCCGCCAATGGCGCAGCCGCCGCCACCGCCAACCAAACCCAGCGCGCCTCCTGCCGACCGCGTCCAAATATTACATACCGGAGCCCCGCCCGTCACTAAAGGCGCCCAAAACAGCTTTCGCGCGAAAATAGACGCGCAAGCGCAATTCTTTTCTGTCCCCAAGCACTCACCGTACACCTTTTATCTGCGCGCGCAACAACTCGACCTCTGGACGGAAGTGGTTTACGTGACACTTCCGTTTTTCCAGGGGTAGCTTTTTGTTTCGCCATTTTTGTTGTTGTTGTTGACTTTTGGGTAAATGACGCGCGAGTGAAAGCTTTCCCTTGTAATTTTTATGCTACGTTGTCGTTCACTAGGTCAACCGCAGAGGGAGCTATAAGCTTGATGACCTCAAAAACAGAAGATAACTATAAATGTAATGTAACTTTCAGTTCAGGAATACCAAGTGCTTATTTAAAAAATAGTTTGCTTTTAACACAATGGTTTGGGTATAAAAATTATTAAAGAACCGCTATTATGCCCGGAATACATTTTGGGTAAAGGTAAAATTTAGTGATGAAAAACATTTATAATGTATATCTTAGCTGCCTTCTGAAGGCAACTTAAAATAAAATATCTGAAAGCCACTTCAGCATAGCCTCTCCATGAAAAACATGTAAATAACAACTGGAAAATACAGCAGTTGCAGTGTGTAAAATCAATCAAAGAGGAGAGCTATGTAATACTGTTCCAAAAATCAAAGCCCCGTTTCAATTAAAATAAGAAAACTATACATAGTTGTAAAGGTTTCATTTGAAAGAGACCAAATATAAAATTATTCAAAAAAAAACAAAAACCTGTCGACAGGGATTTCTGAAATATACTTTTTTTCATTTTGAATATTGCTAAAAGACTGAATAACTTTAAAAATGGGACTATGTAAGCTGTATGATGATGCATCAGAGTCAATATTTTTTAAAGTGCCCTAAGAAATGTACTATACAGTACAGTAAACCTATACAGTTAGTAAAAACAAGATCACTGTGGCTCATATGAGCTTCTTGTTGCAAAATTTAGGCTTAAATTAAATCCTACAAGCTTGGCTCCAGCAGAACTACCAGAAGTACAGGCAGGATTTCAAAGAGGCAGAGGAAGTAGAGATCAAATTGCCAACATACGCTGGCTCATGGAGAAAGCTGGGGAGTTCCAGAAAAACATCTATTTCTGCTTCATTGACTATGCTAAAGCCTTTGATTGTGTGGATCACAACAAATTGTGGCAAGTTCTTAAAGAGATGGGAGTATCAGACCATCTTACTTGTTTCTTGAGAAACCTATATGTGGGTCAAGAAGCAACAGTGAGAACTGGACACGGAACCACTGATTGGTTCAAAATTGGGAAAGGAGTCTGGCAAGGCTGTATACTGTCACCCTGCCTATTTAACTTATATGCAGAGCACATAATGAGAAATGCGGGGCTAGATGACTCAAAAGTTGAAATTAAGATTGCTGGGAGAAATATCAACAACCTCAGATATGCAGATGATACCACTCTAATGGCAGAAAGTGCAGAGGAACTAAAGAGCCTCTTGATGTGGGTGAAGAAGGAGAGGGCAAAAGTTGGCTTGAAACTCAATATTAAGAAAACTGAGATCATGGCATCCAGCCCTCTCAATTCCTGGCAAATATATGGGGAAGAAATGGAGGTAGTGACAGATTTTATTTTCCTGGGCTCCAAGATCATTGCAGATGGGTACTGCAGCCAAGAAATTAAAAGACGCTTGCTCCTGGGGAGGAAAGCTATGGCAAATCTAGACAGCATACTAAAAAGCAGAGATATTACCCTGCCAACAAAAGTGTGTATAGTCAAGGCTATGGTTTTCCCAGTTGCAATGTATGGCTGTGAAAGTTGGACCATAAGAAAGGCTGAGCACCAAAGAATTGAGGCCTTTGAACTATGGTGTTAGAGAAGACTCCTGCGAGTCCCTTGGACTGCAAGGCGATCAAACCTGTCAGTCCTAGAAGAGATCAGGAAGGCCTGGAGGAACATTGTCCATGGGGTCGCGATGGGTCGGACACGACTTCGCAACTAACAACAATAAAGAAATGTAAGAATCCAAGCCAAGATACTGTATATCTGGCTGTGGTTCCCGGCATCCCGATATAGTCAGTTGACTCCATCACTGACTATTGGGGGCGAGTCTTTAGCCCCCACGGAAAGGGCACGCAATCTGGGAGTCCTCCTGGATACACAGCTGTCCTTGGAGGAACATCTGACGGCTATGGCCAGGGGGACCTTTTGGCAGGTTCGCCTGATCCGCCAGTTGCGGCCCTTTCTTGATCGGGATTCCCTGTGCACAGTCACTCATGCCCTCGTCACCTTGCGCCTGGACTACTGCAACACTCTCTACATGGGGCTCCCCTTGAGGAGTACCCGGAGGCTCCAACTGGTCCAGAATGTGGCCGCGCGGGTAATCACGGGAGCCGCCTGGCGCTCCCATACAACACCTCTCCTGCATGAGCTGCACTGGCTCCCAGTGGTCTTCCGGGTGCGCTTCAAGGTGTTGGTTACCACCTTTAAAGCACTCCATGGCATAGGACCTAGTTATCTTCGAGACTGCCTGCTGCTACCGATGACCTCCCACCGACCTGTGCGCTCCCACAGAGAGGGCCTCCTTGGGGTGCCATCAGCCAAACAATGTAGGCTGGTGACCCCCAGGGGGAGAGCCTTCTCTGTGGGGGCACCTACCCTCTGGAATCAGCTGCCCCCAGAGATAAGGAGAATCCAAGACCTCGGTGCCTTCCGCCGTGCCCTTAAAACCTTCTTTTTCCAGCAAGCTGGGCTGGCTTAACATATTTTTTAACATATTTTTAATTTTTAATTGGTTTGTTATCTTAAACTGTGGCCAAATTAATATATATCCTTTTAATTGTTTTTTAATGTTTGTATTGTATGTTTTTATCTGGCTGTACACCGCCCTGAGTCTTTCGAGAGAAGGTGTGGTATATAAATTTGAAATAAAATAAAAAAATAAAATAAAATAAAATATCGTGTCTCTAGTGCATATTACATCCTGAATCTAGGGGGGGGAAATAGACTAATATTTTGACACTGATTCGATATCTGGAGAAATGTCTGGTGATAACTGTAATTTAAAAGTTTTCAGATAACAAGCTCAATAAAGCAATTTACATTCTCATAACAGTATATTGTTAAATTTAGTGTAGACACAAAGAAAGTGCCTAGAAAACTTTTGAGAAATGGGGGAAATTCTAGGGATGAAACTTTAGAAAAGGTAATGAACGTTATCACTATCCCTAATAATCAGATCATACATTTATTGGTGACTAGAAGCCTCTTAAGAACATTTTGCAAAAAATGAAACAAAGGACTTGTATAGTGTTGATGATTAAATAGAAAGAAGAGTAATATAACTTTAGAAAGAGAAGTTGAAATATAAATTTCATATAAAATTGATAATTAACTGCTGTGAAGAATATCAAAAGCCATTTCTTTATATATTTTTTCTTTCTATTTTTCTTCAACATTTTTTCTTGCATTTTTCTTTTTCTTTTTTATTTCTTACTTTACATTAGTTCGTGTTAGTTTTTATATTCTTCAAACATTATAGTAAAAATTATATACATATGAGATGATAACATTTGAAGCAAATCATTGATGATATTAACAATCAAATCCAGAGATCTCTTTATTATTAGGCAAGGTAAAACAGTTTACTACACTTGAGTATTTTTCTTGAGAGAACAATAGAGAGGTATTTGCAAGGACTTTTGCTTTAGAGTCAAAATTATATGGCAAACACTTGGAAAGCAACACATTAGTAGCAAAACAACTTAGACTATGACTGGCTATTGGATTCATTGCTTTATTGATGGTTTGTTGACTGTAACTGAGCACAGAAATTTTTCTCATGATGATCTGTCCTTAATCCGCTCCTTCAGATCTTCCAATGATATACTCATTGCCACTGTAACTCAACCTATCCACCTTTGTTGGTCATCCTCTTTCCACCTTTTCTAGCATTAGAACCTTGTCTAGGAACTGTTTGCATAATGTATCTGAAGTAGGATAATTGGAACCTGTGAATGTTAAGCCTTAAATAAGAACTCTAGTTGATTATTTGATTATCCATTTGTTAGTTTTCTTGGCTGCTC